AAGTTACTGGGGCCAAGAAACGTTAAGCCCCTGTAAATTTTAGCATAAGAAAGGGGCTGATTATTTGTTCAGATATTTTGTCGTTGCAGTTAGCGATTTTTAAAATATTTAAACCAAAAGTGACAGTTTAAATAAAAAACTCATGCTTTTTTATTGTCGCACAGGCAAAAGGCAGCTTGAGCTAAGCCTCTATCCAGTATGATTTCCATTCTCTTTTTTTGTTTGGAGCTGCTTAGAGATGTTTATTATAAGACTGTCACCCTCTAAAAATTCTCTACTATATTTACTTTGAAAATTCCCTGACAATGTGTTTAGTTTTGAAACTGAAACTAAAATTGTCATTTCAGTTCTGATCTCTTGAGATATGTTTAGCATATTACTTGAAGGAGTACTGTCATCAGTGCTGAAGGGCTTTTTTTGTTACCTTTATATATTGCAAAATAACGTGTGTCAGATTTCATAGATTCTTTTCTAGCCTTTCTGGATTTTAATAATTTTCTTTTTGCTGTGCTAACGTGTGCCCTGTAAATTTCTCTGTCATATCTTGACTTGCTGTTCTATTTCTGTGATTTCCTGTGCTCTGCAGCACCAGGAGGCAGGGCTAGTCCTGGCAGTCATAAAAAGAGACTTGGTTCCCCCTTCTGGGAAAACTGCCAGATATATACTACTTCAAAAGCTGAAATATATTCTAAGAACTTTTGATCAACAGTCTTAAAACATTAGGCTAATTCTTCCTTCATTTTCAGTGCATGAGAAACCAAAAAGGTCAAATGTGACTTGAAATACATGTCAATTAAGGTGGATGTGGAATGCCTGGGTACTTGAAGAAAGTCATAAAGTCCAGCCTTTCACTGTTAACTATGAAATTTTTATAACGGTGTTTGCATTAAGAATACAGAGGCATTATAGCACGTGTACTCTTAACAGTATTTCAGAAGTCAGTATGTGTAGCTGTATTCTCACATCAGATTTCCTAATTTGACAAAAGTGGTTTGTGGGGTTTTTTTTTCCCAACTAATGAAGAAGATACCATGTTATCCATATATGGGTCATAGTTTCTATAGCAGAAAAGCTTTCTTGTTCAACCATTTAATAAATTTCTAAGGATATACTTGGTGGTTGGTAGGAAATAGGGTTAAAGAGTTGTGGCTCTCCCAAATGGCTTTATCCTGATAGTGTTCCTCCTGTCTTAAAATATCCAACATATGCTGTTGGTTTTCCATTGAATGTTATTGCCTAGTGCACATCAGGAGGGGCTATGTTCTGTGATCTGTAAAATCACTTTCCATATGAAGGCTGGATGTATGTAGAAGACTATTATCTGAATGGAAAGAGAGATTTGGTTAACCTAGTCTAAGGGAAAAATATTCCTAAGTGTATGATGGAGTATTACCCGGCGTTCAAAAGGCTTGTGAGAGCACTGAGCATTTGGCACAGCTGTTTCAGCTTGCATAGTTGACATGTAAAGTTGTTCTATTTGGACAGAAGACCATTTTAATTGTTACTGTGCTTCTGTGATCTTCCCTAAAATTGCCTAGAAATATTTTTGTTAAATATAGTTATAATACTTAATTTCACTATACAATTTGTTTTCATAGATATCTTTTGGTGAGAAGTGATTGCTTGGCAGAGAAGCTTTTGTGGGTCTGCTCTGTGATGGTGCTTCTTGTTTTTAACTGCAATCATGTTTTCTTTTATTCAAATTAAAATACTGCTTTTTTTCCTAATGCTTCATTAATGGAAGCTCAGCATGGACAAAACAGGAGCAATACTTCTTTCTGTCATGAGGGAGAGGCTCTATTTTAGACCTGTGCATGGATACCACTTTCCACATTTCCACATTGAGACAATGTCTCTAAATGCTGTACTTTGTGTTCAATAACATAACTGAGATCTGGACTTTCTTCTACTTTCCCATTTTCTGCTTTTTCTCATCTCGCATCTTAACCACTACCTGCCTTCCTCTCTGATCTTGCAAGTTGTGTCCATTCCACCCTCTCCCCGTTTTGTTTTCCTGGCTGGGTTGGGTGTATAGCTGTTCTCTTTACGTGTATTCAGTCAGTGGTTCCCCATGTTTGTTTCTGCCTTCAAGGTCTGATGTGACTTAGAATTCTTCCATTATCCTCTCTTTAAGAGTTACTGGATCTCAGGCTGTTATTTGTTACGAAGGATTGCCAGTTTTGAGTTCTTATGAAGCTTTCCAAACAGGAGGTTTATGTTCTGCTATTAAAATTTTGTTTGGCTGAAATATGTACAATATTGATAAACGTATATTAATGTCTACAAAATATATGTTTGTAGAACTCATTGTGAGCAGAAGCAAATGGCAGTAAGATGCTGTGGGAGGAAGGACAAGCAGATGGTGACAGAAACCACTCTTTCTGAATTTGTAGTTGCTGCTGAGTCCAGATGACACGAAGAAGTAGTATTCTTGATTTGGTTTCCAGTAGGGTATGTAGCAGAGTGAAAACTAATTTGCAGTTTCTTTCTAGTAATTCAACCAGCAGAATACACAAAATAGTTTGCTGGGTCTTTTCTTCTCGTTGTACCCTTTGTGCTTCATCCTTCCATGTGTGGTTTGCCTTCTTGTAATTAGGGAAGTGGTATTTATAATAATTAGGTTCTCTCTTTTTCCATGGAACTATGTTTCTGAGATGCTGTTGAAATATTACCTAAATAAAAAATAAAAATAAATAAAAACCAGAATTAAAAAACAAATTTCATCACTTCCATTACTGTGTAAACTACACTTTGAATCAAAGAAACATTAGGGATGATCAACCACAGATAAGCTATGAACATAGCAGTATAAGTTTGAAGATCTTCTAGATAAGTTTCCTAGCATGTGTTAAGTCTGAGGTCCAAACTGTACTGAAAGATCATGCCTGAGGAAGAAGCAGTACATCTCTACTACTGCCAAGTAACCCTTGCAACAGAACCATCAACACGCTGAGGTATGGTGTGGCATTCTGAGCAATTAGCGCCCTAGTGGTGGTTTCCAAGGGGGAAGTAGGCAACTGCTAGATACTGGAATAAATGCTCACAAAACATCCTTAAAGGGCAAAAGAGTTGTAAATATCTGAAGTCAGTGACTGTAAGGCTTTATGATTTCACTTTACGAGCTATTTTTCAAGTAAACCTTAGCAACTCAAAATTTCAAATATTATGTGAAACTGCATATTTCAACAAAATTCCAGATTCATTACATTTCTGCCTTACCTTGTACCACCGTTGCTTCCCTTTAATTCCAAAATTGGAGACCCCTGTGTTAGAGATTCAGACAATGAATCCTTTTATCCAGCAGTTACATTCATTATTCATTGTGCATTGTCAGTGGATTGCTGCTTCAGGCCTGAATTAGAGATAATTAATCTTAGGAAAGCATTTGTAATTTCACACTTTATGAAGCACTATTGTCTCAGCACAGCAGTGCTGTGGTGGCAAAATACTCTAATGCTCACTGTTGCTATGCAGTATCATATCTCTTAATATTTATGTGCATTCAAGTCTTTATTTTGCTTGCCTGTCTGTAGGTTTATGTTACAGCAGTCATGTTTGTGTTTTGCTTTGGAAATATTTTTTGGTAGTTTTATTTTATACAGAATTTCAAACAGAAATAGGTTAAATTGTCATTTAAATGGTGAGGTTAGAAAGATCTTTATCCTTTTCAATACTGAAAAGGAAAACTTGGAAAAGTGATGGACTTTAGCGCAAGAGGAATCAAGTAGATTCCCCAACTTGGCACGTTACTTCACGTGATGAGTTAAATTGGTAGGTGGTAATTGATCAGATACAGTGTACACTTAGAACCTAAGGCCTGATGTTTTCCATCTGGTGGTTAAATGTTTCTAAACCTTCTTGCTAGGCACATAGCCTTCTGTAGGAGCTCTAGTTGCATGTGTGAGCATGAATGTAAGAACTTTACTCAGGAAGTTGATTTCGTGTATTGCAGCGTTTTTGTTTAGTTTACACATTTGCATAGGGAACAGTTCCTGCTCTGTATCTTACAATAGCTTAGAAACTATTTTAAAAATATCGGTATCTCTTGACAGTACTTACAACTGGTATTTCTAGAATGCTGAAAGAATAAAATTATAGTCTAAGCCCAGATGGTACTGGAGAAGTGATTCAATTCAGAGTTAGCAGAGATCCCTTAGTTGCCTAGCACACAGAGGGGAATATTTTGGAATAAATATCAATGTATGCTTGTCCTTCTACTCTTCCTTTGTATGCTGTTGATTGCAGTGGGAGATGAAAAATGGAGAGCTAAAAATGGACTTTTTGTTTCACTTAGTGTTCTTGCTAAGTGGAAAGAAAAATTGCTAAGGGCTTTTAAAATGCTTTCTTAAGTCTCTTCAGCTGTATTTGCCTAACTGTTTTCAGGAATTTCACAGTAATTGCTAACTAAGGTATAGATATGGCAATGAGATTTTTTGATTACACTCTTCATGAAAACTGGCACATCATAAAAACATTTAATATAATTTTCACTTATTATTAGGTTTTCCACAGCAAACGTAATTCCTTTGTAGAAATGTTAATCTTCTCATAGTCCTTGAAAAGAGTGTATTACACTGTGCAATTTGTGCTGACTAGAGAAACACACCTCCAACCTGAATTACCCTGTGATCCTGACCTCCTAAGTGGAGTCAAGAATTAGAATTTATTGTTAGTCTAATTAATGCCCTAGCAGTCTAATCAAAATGCAGCAGTTGTTATTGTTAGCCAATTACAGTGATGCTAACACTTGCAGTCTAATTACTGCTAGTTCCCAATAATCGATGTACACAAACTTCTTCACAACGATGCTGCTCAGGCTCACCCTCCCAGTTTCCTGAGCTCTGCTGGGAGGAGGCTGCTGGTGGTGGCTCTACATGGGATATGCTGGGTGCTTTCAAGCAGTCAGTTATTAATGCTTTGTCTTGGTCCAAAAGTTTATCGATGTTAATCACGCTGGTTTTGTTAGACCTTTATTGTATTTGCTATGATTTGCTTAAGACCGTGCAGTTGCACAAAGCTGAGCTGAATCTAAAAACAAGTTAGACACAAGTCATCTGACTGTAATGACTTAATTACAGTTAAGTCTTTCAACTGCAAAGCATGTGCTGCTACAGCTAAATCTGAGCTCAAAAAAATAAGTTCAGGCCAAGAGAAGTCCAGCCAAAATGTGGAAGGTCTTTAGGCCTCCTGTTCTGAGGCAGTCTTAGGCCTGTGGCCTGCTAATAGCAGTGGCAACACTGTCTTTATAGGGCTACAAATTGTGTGTGTGTGAGATAAATCTGTGTGCAATGCGCATGCTAGAGAGCGGGGAGCATAAGCTGATCTTTCAGGTTGGCTTGCTGAGTAATAGTAGCTGAAGATGGAATTAGTCTGCTTGCAAAGCTATAAGCTGTTACAGTCATGATGAAAGTACTGACATCTCTTCATATTGGCCAGTCTGTAGTAAACCACAAGCAAAGGACAGCTTCTCCTCTGCGGTCATCTGGTCTGTGGCAGCTCATACAAAACAAGCCTTCTGATCGCTGCCAGGTGCCATGTGTAATTTTGACATGCACTTCAAAGGACATTCTTAAACTCTTAAAATCTTTCATTGCGGCTTCCATTTTTCAGTGTTAGTCGTTCTTCAGTATTGAGTCATCTTCTGGTGATGAAGCGCGGAGGTTTTCTCGTTGTGTTTACAGTAGCCTCCTTGTGAGCTGACAGGGTTTATTACATTAGGGGCCTCTGATCTGAACTACAGCAGTTTGGCAAAATGGAAGGATAATCCTTTCAGAAAGAAAATCTCTGCAAGCTGTTTGAATCTGATAGGATAGGGCAGAGGTTCTTCAGAGGCCATGGACTGGGTGATTTTTTTTCTTTTTTTTTTGGTTGTTACTTTAGGTTGTGGGTTTTTTCCCAAACTTACTATTGGAGGAGGTTAATGTCTGTGAAACTGAAATTCTGGATTTTTGGGAAATGCTATTTATAGTCTTTTGAAGTTAGATCTGGACCAAAGTCTACTGCAGAACCTCAAGAATGATATACAGTAAATCTTCAGATTGTTTGTCTTTGTGTTTGTAAGGATCAAAAAAGACTCAGGTTTTCTGTCTTGCTTTATTTAATTCAGGTAATGTTTGAAATATTCTGTTTAGCTGAAGCTGTGACAAATTTGCTGCTCTGCTGTATGAAGTGTAGCGGAAGTATAGGGAGTGATGTTTATAAAACTTAAGTCTGTCCTTTCATGAGAGCAGCTGCTTGGTCTAGTCTACTCCAGGCTGTTTAATAACAAATAAGAAGCACTGGGAATACCAGCCAGAATACACAAACAAAATTTTGTCTTTCTTTCCTATGGCTCCATCCTAGATCTTTCACAGTCCTGAGTCTAGGGCTTTATTTTTGTTGTTTTGTTATTCCTCTATGAGAGGTACTGATTTATGTCCCTATTAGAGGCATAGCTTATAAAAAAAAAAAAAAATTTGCTCGCAAAATTGGCTCGTTTAAGTGTGTAGGGAAACACCTCTGGTATAGGTAAGTTAATAAGCCTCTTGGCATATTGGAACAGTCACTAACAGGTGCAAACTGCCCTGTTTTTTCACACAATGAAACTCTTTTGGTTTTGAATCTTGAAATTGTGCTTTGGGTAATTTCTCCAAATGTTACAAGTAGATAATTTGTTTACAATTTTCAGTCTAAAATTCTGTCTGCAGCTTTGATTAGATTCTCCACTGTGTTTGGAGTTGTAATCTCTGTATCATTTATAAGGAATGTTCTTATCTCACTGTTATTTAGAACTTAGAAAAAGTGTGAAGCTTCAAGACATGCCCCTATACCTGTCCCCTTTTTTCCCTGCTCCCTGGTACACACTTACATTGATTTTGTTTTTGGGAGAGGGGGTATAAAATTTTCCATTTGCTGCCTCTTAGGTTACAGGGAGAGACAATTATGATCTCATGTCTTCCCAGTACTTCCTCAGTTAATGTGCTTTCGTTTAGAACTTTCCTAAGTGTTTCCTGGAAAAATCATTGCAGTCCTTCATGACTGTACCAAATACTAGGACTTTAGTCTATTGTCGAAACGATTAAAGAACAATGTTTTTTCATTCAGAGTTGAGATCTATAACAGATGCAGGCTGTTTCATCTTCTTCACTAAGTTCCCAACCTTAATTAATAAACTATCTTTTCTGTCTTTTCCATCAGTGTTATTTACTACTTAATACTTGTACCTGTAATGTCACGTATAGTATTAACTCTTTTCTTCTACTACATCTGAAATTGCTTTATTTCTTAGTGTTAGCATTCCTTTCTTGTGACTTACCCTGCTGTGTTTCTGTTAAGTCCCCCACAGTCTCCTCCTTGAATAATTGCTTCTAGCTCAGTCTGTTTATTTCCCATCATCCTGGAGTTAATATACAAGTAGTTGTGAGATGGTTTATTCCCTTTCTTTCTTGGTAAGTAGTTTTGTTTTCTTCTTTCTTTCCTCCTCCCCCTTTTCTTCTTACTGTCTACAAGCCTGGCATTTCAGTTCTTGACTTAGTTGTCATTTTGTAAAAAAGTGAATCTTGTATCCACTTCAGGCTGTTTTTTCTTATGCCAGCTCTGAAGACAGATGACTGGATGTCTGAAGGGAAGTAATGGCTAGTCAAGAGCACGTGTGCTCTGTGAGGACTGTGCTCCATGGGTGAAGTCTCTAGACTTCTCTTTCAGTTGATTAAGGGAATGACAAACCTATTGTGCATAGTGGCATAGAAAATTAAGATGAGGTTTAGCAGATCATATGTGGACTTCCTGATTTGTTTGAACTTCTTTGGGGAGAGTGAAAGAAGGTGTGATTCACATGGACGGTTAGGCAGTCAGTTTAAGAGATGACCTTTTTGCAGACATTCAGTACTCAAAGTGCTGTTAATCCTTATTTTTGTTTCTGGGGTTGATGGCAAGATACGAAATGGAAGCTATCAGCTGTTGAGCTTTTGATTGTTTTGAGCTGATGGAACCAGGTACCAGTGATCTTCACAGCATATAATATATCTTTTCTTGGAGACTATCTAGAAAGAAATGATGTGCATTGAAAAGATGTAAGTGGAAAAGGTGATCTCATAAATGTTGTGGCAATTACTAAAACTCATAATGCATCTCTATTATTATTCTTGATAGCTCAAAATGTTATAGGCAGACCACACAGAAGTTAATGAGTGGGTGTTGTGGGTTTTTTTATGTTGGTTTTTTGTTTTGTTTTTTTATTCAGAAAATAATGGCAAATCAGAGAGGAAGGTTCCTTGAAGAAGTAACATTTTGGTCATTTCTAAGGGGTATAGTCAGTGGCAGTGTATGGAGGTACACATCTGAGAAAGTGAAGTGAGAAGGGAACCCAAAGTTCATAAAAAAAAAAAAGGGAGAGAAAATAGAAAGACACTAGATCAAATATAGATGTGTAGAATGGGGACAAGGACTCTAATGGCAGGAAGAAATTACTCCAGACAAAAATTGAAATTAGTGGAAAGTAACATGGTTAACTGGAGGAGGCAAAAATGAGATACATTGCAAAGTAATTTGGAGCAGATGGGAGGTGGGAAAAAAATGAAGAGCAGAGATGTCTAACTGTAAAAGGCTGAAAAAGTCAAGGTGACAGATGAGGGCTTAGGAAAAAATGCTCTAGTAAACAAATTACAGAACCCAAATTACTTCTTGCTTGCTGAGGGGAAGGAAATGGGAGAGAAAGAATTGGAGGAGACAATGAAGTTTTGATCCTGAGAGAGAGAGTAAAAGTGTATGCATTATTTAGAATAGAAAAGGAAGACTGTAGCAAGAGACTAGGAAAAAAAGGTATGCTCGGTACTAGAAAGAATCAGTTTATGATAATGCTGTGGCAGGAACGGGGAAGGAAGCTGACATTTGGATTAGAACCAACTTGAAGGAAATGTGCTGAATTATTGCTGTGTGTTTCAACAGATATGTGGCGGTGGCAATTAAGTCATTTGAAAACTTATACTTACAATGGACTTGTTTTCTACGAGGTGGCTAAAAGAATGGATATAGCAGTGAATCAGTACATCAGAGCATTAGGAATATTTCGTACTGCAATGTTACGTCCTGCATAACTCAAGTTGCTTTGTGGATGCTATGAAATAATGATAATAATCACGCAGTTTGCTATATTTTTGTCACTTAATAAAAATGTCTTATCTCTTGTGCATAGATATTTGATTTAATGGATGCCAAAGCCCGTGCTGACTGCATCAAAGAAATAGATCTTCTTAAGGTAAAAAATTTGTTTAAAAAATGTGCAGCCATCATCAAAGCATATTAAGTTTTTCATAGATATACTTGAGATGTCCACTGTTGTCTGTGTAGTTTTTATAAGCCTCACTTAAGGAATTTTGTAATCTTTATTGCTTTAAAAATTAACATTGAGAAGTACATCCTATAGAAAAATGGGTAACTTTTCAAGTAGAAGTTTCTGCTAAAACCACAGTATTGTAAATAACTGTGTCCTGTGTACTGTAAAATACTGATTTTAAAAATTGACTTTGCTGTTTCAGGTAACAGTTTAGCATGCTATTGCATAGATACATTGAAGCAAAATTCCTCTAAAATTGCAACTTCAGTCATCATGTTGATCCTAAAATGCCATGTTCTTGCAAAATGTGTATCTGTAAATGCTTCTCATAAGCAAATACATTTTGCATCATACTGAAATAGATTTTAGGGGTTGTTTTTTTTGCCTAAATAAGAATGTTTCATATCTTAAAAGGTAAGATGTGCTCTATGCTAAAATGTGCATTATTATTCTGCTTTCTTAGCAACTGAATCATCCAAATGTAATTAAATATTATGCCTCATTCATTGAAGACAATGAACTGAACATAGTGTTGGAATTAGCTGATGCTGGAGATCTCTCTAGAATGATAAAGGTAGGAATTAACATTTTTAAAAAAATTAAGAGCTTGTAACATTGAACAACTTTGGCTTTTCATTCTCTGTGCTCATCACTGGGTGAAATGCAGTGAAAATGTCAGGAACTATGGAGAAAAGTGGAGTGTTTAGACTGACTTTTTTAACGTATGCCCAATATTGATGCTTATGTAAGTATTTTTAACACTGTTGCCCAGAATGTAAGTGCAGATGGGGACATAACTCGACTGAAATTATATTAGCGCTGGGGAGAAGAAAAAAAAACTGTAAAGAAAAAACACTGTCACCACCATTTAGAACAATACATTTTGAAGGCATTCC